GTGATCATCCACGTTTGTGTTCGTCTTGAGTTCCCGGAGGTCTCGGCCACGCGCCTTGCCTCAGGATCTCTCGACTCAACTGTTTTGTGTTTGGTTTTGCACCAAACACTTGTGTTTTGCCTTGGAGGGGCAGGGAATGGCTAGTGGGCCATCCCCACACATCACCGGCCATGGCTTAAGGCCGCCGGCCAGTCTTTTGTTTCCATCGGCCAAATGTTTGGCCAGTCGGCATTCTAGATGGTCGGTCGGCCATTTATTTTGTCAAAATAGTATTTTTGGCTAGCCGATCACTGTGCATCTGCTTTTGCAGATATTTTTATGCTAGCTGTGCTAGTTGGCATACACCTTTTACCCCCTCCATACACGTGTATGGAGGGATTTCACTCTTGCCAAGCTTGTTTTGTAAGCTTTGCAAGAGTGATCTTCTATAAAGAGGAGGCCTCTCCCCCCTCCTCTAGGGTTACAAAAAATTCCAGAGAGAGCTCTGAGATTAGGGTTTACATAGTGTGTGTATTCTATCTCTATTTCTCCCTCTCTTTTGCTCTAAGTGTGTTTGTGTCTTACTTTTGTGCATAAACACCTAGTGTTACACCTTACCTTGGCTACTGAGGTGCTGAGGAGCTGTTCTTGGTGTTCTTGAGTGGATTCAAGCTTGAAGAAGGGGCTGGAGCTCAGTTCTTGAAAGGGGTCAACAAGGGTAAGAACTTCACCCTTTATTCCCCATTTTTGCATAGTCCTTTTACCTACCTTGCATCTGTTTTTGAGCTTAGTATATAACATATAAAAGTTTTTTTTTTACTTGCTTAAAATAGTTGTTTAAGGTTTCTTTGAGCTTTGGGGTTGTTTGACCCCTCTTAGGGCTTGTTTGGCCCCTTTTTTGTGCTATTTTGGTGAGCTCCGGGACCACCTTGTTTGGGCCTCCTCACCACTGAAATCTTGAGGGATTTCAGTGGTGAGGATGGTGGTTTAAGGTCCCAAGAAGGAGAGGGCCACCCCCTCTCCTTGTTGTCTTCAATATGTGCCATTTAAGCCTCATGTGTGAGCAACATTTTTGAGACCATGTTGGCCATGTTTCAGTAGGTATTTGGTAGTATTTTGCCATGTTTTACCTCTAGTTTTACTTGGTTTAGACACACCATGCATGCCTTGCATACTTGTCTTGTAATGCCATGAAATTGCCTTAACATGCTTTGTGCTTTGAGCCTTGTTTCTTGCATGATTTTGGCATAGCTTTGTGAAGCTTTTATGCATGTTTTAGTGTGTTTGAGGTCTGTTTTTGGTTGTTTGGGCCATCCATGGCTTGCTTTGTATAGCTACCATGCAACCTAGCTTGTAGGCTTTGAGTGTTGGACCTTCTAGCATGCTCTATTTGCATCATTTCAATGGTTTGGCACCATTAGTTATGTCATTTTAGTCCTTATAGCATGCTTGTATGCTTGCATTTGATGCCCCTTCAATGCTTTAAAAGGCTTGTGTCTTATGCTCCTTGTTTGTACCATTGTGCATGCCTCTAAGATTGGGTCATTTAGATGTCATCTAAGTGGTTTTTGGGGCTCACTTTGGCATGATTTGGGACTGTTTTGCATGCCTTGCTTGCATTGGTAGGTTGATTTGGCATCATCTTCTACATGTTTTCAAAGCTTATCATGTATGCTATTTGTCCATGTTAAGTGTGCTTAAAATCTGCCTTTTTATGCTCAAGTATTGGACCATGTGTGCATGAATGTTTGTGTGTACATTAGCCTTGCATGTTATCACACACTTGGCCCCTTTGGTATGTTATTGCATGCTTAGGTGGTAGTGCATTTGGCATGCATTCCTTTGCTAAGTTTCTTAACATTTTGTCCATGTTGCATCTTGCATGCTTGCATGGTTAAGTTGCCCTTCGCATGCTTGATTAGCTTGCATAGTTGTTCCATACTTCACATGCTTGTTTGCTTAAGGTTGTGTGCCTAGTACACATTGCATATTTGTATGCTTACCTTCATGCATCATGTTGCATGCTTAGTTCACATGCCTAGGTTGCATTACATTGAGCATGCATGCCTTGCCACTTGATCAAGTGATAGAGGTTGGGCCAATTGTTTGTTTATGTGCATTTCATTCTACATTGAAAATGCACAACTTGGTTTCTTGGGCCATCACGCATTGAAATGCACGATTGGTGGTCCAAGAATCAAGGAACATACCCCTTTGAGTCATGAACATGATAAGGGATGTGTTGGTGCACACATTTTCTTGAAATCATTACCATGCCATGTTTTGCCCTCTGCTGCTGTCAAAACAGGTTTCTGCATGAACCTTTGGCCGATCGACTGAATAGAGTGCCGACCGACCAAAGTTGGATGGCCGAGAGCTCAACAAATGGTCGATGACCATCCCACCATGGCCGGTGAGGTTTCTACTTGGTCGGTGATGATCCACAGTGTCCATGGAGTGTTCCTTGGGAATTGTGCCATTTTCAGAGGAGCAGAGCAGGGAAAACAGAGGCAACTTGTGCATGGTGACGGATTTTCGAGAAAACCCGAGCACGCGTGCATTGGCCCCTCTTCCCGTGGCCTTTTATTGCTTAATTAGCTTAGTTAATTTTCTTAACTAGTTAATTGTTTGTAATAATTAATTAGCTTGTAGGTTAATTAATTGTATTATTCTTTCGGTCCCTCCGAGCGAGGGTGAATTTGTAATAAGTGTGGGTGCGTGTGTGCATGTCTTCCAACCCCCACTTCTTTCTCCCTTTTACTTACCTGCTTTTGATGGTTAGTATTAGGGCATATTTAATTTAGCATCCTTATGCTATGCATGCGTGCATCATTCATCAGTATTGCATACACCGGGCTCGGCGCATCATGCTAACTGCATAATATATTCAAATCTAACTTGAATATATGTTATTTGCGCATTCCACATGCCATCCTAGGATTAGCTGAGCCTATTCTAGTGGCATTCTGTATGCGTTGCATTAGCCACTTAACATGGACTTGGATCATGCATGATTGCTAACATGTTCCTTATTTTGGCTTGGAGTACGCTGTAAGTATTTATGCTTTAGCATCTCGCATAAGTATGAATGTTAAACATGACAGTATGCTTGCCATGAGGCTAAATGCTTAGCTGATATAACTGCCTGAATGCCTATGGGTGAAGGTTGGATTGTTTGAGTTGGAACAACTCATTGAAATCCGTGTTTTAGCCTACTTGCGAGTAGCAAATCTCAAACCTATTTCCAAACAAACGGATATGCAATGCTTCATTCCAAATTAGACGATCTAGTCTATACTTTTGTGTTGTGCGCATCACATAATAAGATTAGCTAATTAACCGGAATAAGAACACGTAACGTTTTCAAAATAAGATATCATGGTTAGTAGTGGCCGATCTCCGGATCAGGCGAGAGGGGGTGGTCATAGCTGACCTTCCCCAATTGTACCCAAGTTCCCGAGCCGAGGCAACTTTGGTGTGACGGACACGTGGCCTTAGGCAAACGAGTAAGGGTTTCCTAAATTCCCCCAAAATAAAATATTTAGGTGGCAACTCTGTATCTGGCATAGCAGTCCATGTTGGGAACTTCTTTACATAAATCTGTTTTCCAAAACGATTTGCCAGATTTGGACTCTCTGGTGATTTATCAATCTCACATTGCACATTGTGAGATCACATTAAGAACCGACACAAATCGAGTCTGAACTGTAGCATGGGGCCCAAGGGCGCGTCTACAGATAGGTGTCAAGCCTTTCGGTTAATACCGGTAAAAATGATAGTTTGGTAGTACTCGTAGAGGCTATTTGCAGACACCAGCCTAGGGATTACCAGTGTCGTATTTACTGCCCCTGTTGAATTAAATATTTGAAATTTCAAAATTGATGAGATTACAAAATATTATTGAGAACGTGTTGATTTTGAAATAGCGCATTGAAATAAAATTTTCCTCCATTATTGCACTTGCATGGCATTACATTTGCATTTCTTTTAACATTGATGGAATTGGCATAACTGTATATACTTTGTGAGGAATCTCTACTGGGCTTTATGCTCAACCCTATGGGATTTGGTGCAGGTAAAGATGTGGTGATCCCGCCAAGCTAAGGGCGTGGAAATGTTTTGAAGAAGAGTAGTTTAACTCTTATTTTGTTGTGATATTGTTTTTGTAAAGCCAAGGGCTAATGTGTGTGGGTCCAAGAGACCATTCTATCTAACTGGACTATTGCCTTGGAACTTGTAAGCCCTTGTGGGCCTTTTTGTTGTGATTCAATGGTTTTTTTTACATGCAATAGATTCATGTACTAATGTGTAAACAGATGCATAATGGCATGTGAGAATACTTTGGTAACATTGGAACTGTGTAAATGAATTTGGTCAATATCTCATTTTGGAAGTGGGTTGATGTAATAGTTATGTGGGATTATTTTCGGGGCGGGACAACTTGGTATCAGAGCTACCGGGTTTGAATACTTGGGGCTCACGGGAAGTGGTTGCTATACCACAATGGGTTCATTTCGTATGATTAGGAAATGTGTTGTTTTTGTGATTATGTGATAGCATGCTTATGTGACTATGTGGGTATGGGATTAGACTTTTGGGATGTTATTTGCGCCTATTAGATTCCTTGAGGTCTTATTAGAAGGGTACCTGATCAATACTCATTCTACTAAGAATTCTTGGTTTCTCATGGGACGAATCGCATTGCTAAAGGATAATTCGCATGTGCTTATGTGACTACATGCTTATGTGGAGTGAATTGAATTGCTTGTGTGTTAGAATGTATATAATTGTATTAGCTCAACATGTGAGGCAAGTTGCGAGCACATTTAGAGTTATGTGCTAAGTTATCTAATTTTTTCCTCAATTAAGATGTCGGAAAGGGTTGAAAGTCGTGGTGGTGAGAGTTTGTGCCTCGGGGAGGCTGTTGCATCGTGCACTTAGTTGGTTTTGTTTTTGAATTTTATAGGATGTGTACACAGGGAACTAGAGGATAGATGTGTAATAGGAGTGTCGGTAGGGGCATGGCGGTTCCCCTAGTGCCTGTCGTTACAACATCGGCTGTTGGCAAGGAAGTTGTACGCAAGGTTACAATGAAGGGGACAACAGGCGTATCCTCAAGCTTACTAAGGGGTTTTTTCACTCCAATCCACCGGAGTTTTTGGGAGACGCAAGACTGCTGGAGGTGGAGGGTTGGTTGGAACAGATTACCAAGACTTGACATGCTCATAGTTGAGGATGAGGGGTTGAGAGTTGCTTTGGCGACCTTCCAATTGAAGGGGACAGCGAATTATTGGTGGAAGTATGTGAAGGGTACCGTAGGTACCACTTGGGTTGCGTTTATCGAGGCCTTCTTGACCAAGTATTTCCCTCCTTCTGCTCGGGAAAGGTTGTGGGAAGAGTTTGTTGAGTTGCGCCAGGGTGCTACTCCGTTGGTTCAATTTGAGAGGAGGTTTGTTAGTTTGTCGAGATTCGCTCCAGAATTGGTGGCAATAGAGGAGCGTCGTTGTTACGAGTTTGAGAGGCGGTTGCATGATGATATCCGGGAGAAGGTGGTTTAATCTAGGTGGAAGAATTATTTTGATCTAGGTGGTGCGGCGACCCATGGGGAGGTCGTGGTTAGCCGTGTTGGTCGAGTTAGAGAGGAGGCCACATCGGTAACTCCTACAGTTCATAAGCACCCTGGACTTAGCAAGAAGTGGAGGCGAGTGCATGCTCACTCCTAGACTCGGTCCTTGTTTTCTTCGGGGGTTTCGAGCTCATCCGTTGGGGAATCCAGTGAGGTTCAGGCTCCAAAACAAGTTCAGAGTTGGAAGTCCATTGTTTGTTTTGATTGTGGTCAGTGGGGCGATGCTAGACGTTTTTATGCTTTACGTGTAGATCCTTCCGGTGTTTCAGAATCTAGTTGGACCTTGTTCCATTAGTCCAGTCGGGACTGTAGACGTCCCCGAACGTCCCGGGAGGGAAATCCCGTTTTGTTCATATGGGCTCACTACAGTTCAGGACTCAATGTCATGGTCCTGTATCTAATCTCGCAGAGTGCAATGCAAGACCGATGAATCATCAAAGAGTTCAAATCTGACAAATCGTTTTGGAAAATAGATTTTTTGAAAGAAGTGCCAAACATAGACTGCTTTGCCAGATACAGAGTCGCCACCTAAATATTTTATTTTGGGGAATTTAGGAAACCCTGACAGATACAGAGTCGCCACCTAAATATTTTATTTTGGGGAAATTTAGGAAACCCTGACTCGTTTGCCTAAGGCCACGTGTCCGTCATCATCAAAGTTGCCTCGGCTCGGGAACTTGGGTACGATTGGGGAAGGTCACTTCGTGAGCACCCCCGCTCGCCCGATCAAAGATCGGCTTCTACTAACCATGATATCTATTTTTGGAAACATTATGCGTTCTTATTCCGGTTATTAGCATAGATTTACTATGTGATGCGCACAGCATACAAGTATAGACTGGATCGCCTGAATTGGAACAACACATCTCATGTTTGTTTATTTTGAAAATGGTTTGATGGTGCTACCCACAAGTAGGCTAAGACATGGATTTGCCACCCTCGGGTGGGCTGAGAAAACGTGATGGTTTGCCACTCTCAAGTGGGCTTAAAACTCACAGTCAATGCATTATTCCAATTCAGATAATCTAACCTTCACCCACAGGCATTCAAGCAAATATATCACATAAGCAGTTAGCCTCATGGTAAACATGCTATCATGGCAATCACTCACACGCATGCAAGGATGCTAAAGCATAAACACTTACCGAGTACGCCGAGCCAAAACAGAAACTAGTTAGTAATCAATGCACGATCCTAGTTCATGTTAAGATGGCTAATGCAACACATGCAAAATGCAACTAGAAATAGGCTCGGCTATCCTAAGAATGGCATATGAGATGCTACAGTTAACACGTGTTCAACTTGGAATTGAAATACAATGCAGTTAGTATGATGCGCCGAGCCCGGTGCATGTAGGACAGATGAATGAATGCAAACATGCGAGCATAAGTATGCTAATTGAAACATGCCCTAATCTAACCATCATAAGCTGATAAATAAAAGGGAGAAAGACGTGGGGTCGGAAGACATACATCACACACACGCACACTTATTACAAAATTGCCCTCCTCGGAGGGTCCGAATAAATAACAGCTATAGCTAATTATTACACAACATTAACTAATTTACAAACTAGCTAAGTAAGCATGTAAACTACATGAATGTGACTGCCTCGGTTCTGTTTTGGGTGACGATGGATGCATGCATGCTCGAGTTGCCTCGTCGGGAAATTCCATCGCGATGCCTCGTCTCGCCTTTGTTTGCAGCTGATTTCAGGTGAGAGATTCGAGCTCCAGAAGGCTGAAACTCCACCTTGGGAAAGGCTGCTAACCAGATATTGGGGCTGTAGTTATATATTCAAAGCGCGACTCGCGGACCCCACAGGGAATGATGGCTGGGAGAGAGCGCCCACGATAAAAGGTAGCATAAACCACCACGTGTGTGAGTATTAGAGTGTGCGAGTCTCCGACCAGCTTTCTGCTCTAGTTCTCTGGTTTTTTTCTGCAACAAGGCAAGAGAGAGAAAAGGGCAATTTATTTTCAACCAAATGTGTGCATGACCACCCCCGTCATGCACAAGCTCTAGGAGTGTAGTCCTCGATCCTCGTGCATCATCACGCATCTCGATGCATGATGGTCGAGAAGTCGAATTGCACGACTCGATGTGAAATGAATGCACATATAAACACAACAAGGCCTAGACTCCATCATGGTTAATCTGGAGTGTCGGCGACCGGGAATTGAGACACGTTCTGTCACTTGGAGTATGAAACGTCCCTCGTTTCCTGTGCTCAGGCTAACTCCTATCCCAAACATAATGCAATGAGATGGCATACACGATGTGACTAACATGCCACCCTAAATGCAATGCAATGCAACCTAATCATGTTGGCATGCGAAGGATGATATGCAAACATGCAACCTAGCAAACGCAATACTATGGACTAAAATGGCATACACAATGCACATGACATAATATGGCATACACAACGCACATATGAAGACTTATCATGCACACATGAAGACTATCAATGAGATGATCAAGGCACACACAATGCAATGACCAAACATACAACAACATGAAATAAATGGCATACACAATGCAAGATGGACTTAAACCAATATGAGTGGACCTTAGCCACACCCACATCAATGGCCATATGATGAAAATGAGACAACCGAAATACACGCAAGCATGCACGAATCCAATGGACCGATCCTTAGGCACAATATGCAACTCTAAGTAAGCATGGCAAAGGATGAAATATGGCATACAAGCATACATTTTCCAGCTCTGAAACATGATATACAATGGTCCCGAATCATGCAAATATGTTACCCAATGCATGCTAGATGGCCCGAATACCGAAACTAGTGAAGTGCGTTACACTATAGGTACACAAAGCAATGCACGAATGGAAAAACAAACCCCAAATAGACCCTAGGTAGATCTGAAACAGTGGGAAAATGGCCCAAAATGATGGTTCAAAGTGCATGGCAATGAAGCTCATTCAATGGTCCGAAAACAAGGCATTCATGCACAACTCTCAAGCACACTTAAAGAGAAGAAAACATGAGGATATGGCATTCACATAGGCTCTGAAATATGATGCAAAATGACCCCAAGGCATGAAAACAGCTCAGTATATGCATGTAGTGGACCTCAAAACTCAAAGCTAAGCATGGACATTGAACTACAAGCATGCAAAACAAGCATCATTCAACCACGAGACCCAAAAATAGAGTTAAGGCAGTCCAAAATATGCACAAAATCAGTTTAAGGCATGGCCAAAAAGTGCTAAAATCAAGGGTCAACAAAGCATGCAAAGAAAGCTAGTGAACCATGAGTTGTACTACAACTATATGAAACACATGAGAGCTCACCAAACCATCCAAAAACAGAAGTATTCCATGCCAAAATATGCCCAAAAACCCACTGAAACTCAGTCAATGCATGCAAGAATGATAGGCTCCTTTGGAAGGCCATGAAAGGGGTTATTCTACACATGTAAGATAGACACAAAATGGAAAAATCACCTCTGGAAAGAGGTTATGAGGGTCCTAAAACCCACCAAAAAGGTCCTGAAATTAGTCTAGGAAGCATGCAAGTGAAAGCCCCTTTGAAAGGCCTTGAATAGGATTGTTCTACACATGCAAAATAGGCACTTCAAATGGAAAAATGGGCTCCGGAAAAAGTTGAAGCAGACCTTAAAACTCACCAAATAGGGCCTGAAATGTGACTTCACAACATGAAAGTATGAGCCCCTTTGGAAGGCCAAAAGGGCCAACAAACTAGGTAAAGAGAGAGGGGGTCACCCCCCTCTGATTTTGGCTCTCAAAATAGTATGCCAGCCCCTGAAAATCCACTGGATTTCAGTGGCTAGAAGTCCAAACAAAGCACAAAACCAAGGCCTAGATGCAAGGCTCAAAACAAGATACAAACAAGCATACAAGGGGGTAGATGACCCCCAAAAGAAAAATGCCCTTAATCAAACTTCAATAGGGGCTCAAAACAAGACTCTTTTCAGTTTATGACAAACCTCGAAAATGCTTGCAAGCAAGGCTAAGATAGGAAGAAAAATAAGCCTACAAAGAGAGATGGAGCATACAAGGAGGTAGATGACGTTAAACAGAAAAGTGTCCTTAATCAAACTTCAAGAGGAGCCCAAAATAAGACACTCTTCAGTTTAAGATGAAACCCATAACTACTTGAAAATAGGGCTAAATTATGAAGCAAAATAATGCAAAAATAAGGGAAATGATGACTTATCCTTGCAGCACAGCAATGCAGCAAGTTCTGGACCAAAAAGGTGAGCCTTCAACCTCTGAAAAACAGCTCCGGGGTGATTGAATGGATGGTGGAGGTGGTAGGCTATGAGGTGTAGTGTAAATGGCCAAGAATATTAGGGTTTGGAGCTTGAAGAAGAGAGCTATGGTGGGTGGGGTGTATCTATCTCAGCCAAATGTTTCTAACCCTTGCAAATGGAGGGGGAAGGTTTGTTTTATAGAAGAAGAGAGCCAAGGCTTATTGGAGAAGCCTCAAGAGAGGGTCAAAGCTTCTCAAAGAAGCTTAACCAAAGGGGTCAAGCTTCTTCAAGAAGCTTGACAAAAGGGTCAAGATTCTCCTTGAAGCTAAGAAAAAGGATCAAATCTTCCTTAAGAAGACAAACAAAAGGCTCAAAATCTCAGAGGAAGGGTCAAGTGCTTCACAGCTGGCACAGTTGTGTTGCACTCAGGAGGGCCAAAAAGGAGGTGGTCGGCCTACCAGTTCAGGTGGTCGGCCAACCACTTGCCCTGGTCGGCCGACCAGGGTTCAAAAGGGTCAAGCTGAAATACTGGTCGGCCATACCAGAAAGGTGGCCTCCCAAATGAGTAGAATACAGCTCTATGGTGGGAGACCAGAAAATGTGACCCAGGAGAGAGGAAAACCAGCTTTCTAGCAAGGTTCAAAAGGGTTAGGAAGAAAAGCTGGTCGGCCTACCCATATTGGTGG